ATAGTCTCTCTTGTTCCTCATAGGGCAGGTGAGCCTGGTCTCTTCCACACCTACCTAATGGTCTAGTGAGATTCCAGAAGAAATCCTCAGAGAGGTTTACTCATCGATTTTTTTTTTTTTCACTTTTCTTATGGGGGAACTGAGAATCAGAAAAGCTAAGTGACTATCACAGACTTCGGTAAGTATATTAATAGTAGGACTAGTAGAATGATGCAAGCTTCCTGATTTCAGGCCAATGCTTTTTCTATTATAAAAGATAAAATATACATTTCCTAGAACGTATATGTCACATAAAGCTCAGGTCTCTGCTCTTTTGTACTTAGTATTTTATCAGATATTTGATGATTATGCGCATACAGGTAATAAAGGCACCTAAAACCATTGGGGAGTAATTGCAGGAACATTTTTTCCTTCCACTTAGTGAAGACAGAATTAGCAGCCATGATTTATTGTAAACCTTTGATAAAAGACTAGTTCTTTTTTCAGTGTAGAGGAAATTTAGTGTTAAAGTCAGTTGGCTTAATGATTTACTTTGAATAGCTCCCTACTGTTCTCTGGTTTAGTGCTATTTATCATTTCCTTATCTATATGCTTTTTTTTTTTTTTTTTTTGAGAGGTTTTGCTATAGGACGAGTGTGCTCGCCAGAAAGACAGAGAGAGACAGACAGAAAGCGAGAAGTCACCCCCAGGGGGGATAGCCATGCCGCAATCCCTTCTCCTCCATTCTCCTTTTGGGATCTTGGGCATGCATGCACATGTGCCCAGCGTGAGTTTAAGCCACCAGGTCTGGGACTCGAACCGCGGTTGGCTACATGGGAGTTCAGCAATGTAGCCATTACACTAACTGCTGGTCCCTTTATATGCTTTTTAAGAACATTTGCTAGAGGGTGCATGTGCTGGGGAGTGGTGGTGGCTAAGGGTGGTGGGGGGGGTGAAAAAGCACTTCCCCTCCCCACGTGGAATGGACATGCCACAATCACTTTCTCTCTCAATTTTCCCTCTTTTTGGGATTTTGGGCACTCATACACATGCACTCACTGTGTTTTCCAAGCCACTGGTCCCTGATTCAAACTGCACTGTCAGCCATGTGGGCTCCAGCCACCTTAACCACCATGCTGCCTGCTGGTCCAACTGCACTTCTGTTATTACTATATTGATGTTGAAATTCCTCCCCAAAGTAATATTTAAGATGCCATGTTGCTTTTGATATAGCCATCAACTTTTCTATTACCTTTTTTTAAATGTGACTTTTATTTTCCTCGAATCAATATATATACATAATTTAAGAAGTTAAATCACATCAGAGCTTTGATAAAAGACTAGAGCTTTGATAAAAGATAACTGTCTGCCTGCTGCTTGCCCTGCCACTTCCCATTTCTAGTTCCTTTTTCCCAAAGGCAGTCAATTTTACTTCCTTAGCTTACCTCCTTATCAGGTAACTTACCTATGTAGATCTTCTCTGCTTCAGATGCTGCATTGAAGATCTGCTATGAAAGATGTATATTTAACTTTTTCTTACACCTCAATCTTTCCCTTTGTTTCAGCTCTCAATGTATTTTTGACACAATTTTTGGTTTGTCAGTGATCTCTGTATACTTTATTATGGTTACCCAAATATTATTTATACCTGAATCACATAAGGAACTATGGTTATATTTTATTTCTCAAACATTGTTTTTAGGCTCTTTCAGATGAACAGAGATAGAAAATGTGTACCTTTATATATTTTTTTTTCTTTTTTTGGAGAGGTTTTTGCTTTAGGGCGTGTGCATTTGCCAGAAAGACAGAGAGAGTCAGAGAGACAGAAAGTGAGAAATCACCCCCCGGGAGGATGGCCATGCCACAATCCCATCTCCTCCATTCTCCTCTCAGGATCTTGGACACACACGCACACACACCCAGTGTGAGTTTAAGCCGCTGGGTCCGGGACTCGAACCGTGGTCGATTACATGGGAGTCCAGTGACATATCCACTAGGCTAACTGCTGGTCCCCCTTTATATTCTTGTTTTAAGAGCACATTTTTTTAATGAATTAATTCTTTTTTTTTTTTTTTTTTTTAGGTTTTTGCCAGAGGGCACATGTGGTCACTGGAGAGAGACAGAGAGGCAGAGAGAGGAAAAGTGAGAAACCTCCCCCTAGAGGAGATGACCAGGCTGCAGTCCCTTCTCCAATCTCTCCGGATTTTGAGCATGCATGTACATGTGCCCAGTGTGATTAAAAGCACTTAAAAAAACTTAGGTTGACAATTTTTTTTAAAGTGTATTTGTTTATTTCTTTCATGAGAGAGAGGGAGAGAGAGAATAAGAGAGAGGGAAAAGGAGGGAGCAGAGGGAGGCCACCCCCTTACACTGTGACTGTAATCAGCCTTAGCCGGCCAGAATTACAGGCATACCTAGGCGTGTACAGGGAGGCCATGGTAATCTTGAAGTATTTACACATTTACAGAAAGTGCTCAGAACATAAATGTGTAGTTTAATTTTTCACATATACCTCAGTAACTATCAAATACATGGAGAAACATGTAACTTTAATTTTTCTTGAAACTATTATCCAGTTTTTCAATTGCCTAATTTTGTATGAATATTTCACTAATTTGCTCTAATACTGAACTGAAAGTATCCTTTTGACAGAAATATAGGGCATATTCTTTTTATTTCATTTCATTTATTTTTATTTTATATTTTGAGGCTTCTCTCCTATAACTCTCCAGTGTGACCTGGTTATATTGGAGATTTTTTTCTCCCTCCTTTCTTTTATGTTGTCTCCTGATTTCCAGGGCTTCATCTTCATTTTGAGGTTATCCCCTCATTTGGGGGCATACCTTAACTTCCTTTCAAAATGTAGATGTGGATAATTTGCACTTCTGAGATTGTCTTTATTATATTCCTAAATCTGAATAATATATTTCCTACAGATATATTATCGCCTGGAAATTATATTACCTTGAAATTTTGTAAGTTTTGCTATGTTCTCCCCTGGAGAAATCTGCCTTCTGGTTTCTGATATTTTGTAAAAGATTAGCTCTTATACTCCCTCTCAGAACTTTTGGCCTTTTCTCTATTTCCTGTTATTCTGAGTCTTGTCATAATATGATCTAGAGTCTTACCGTATTTAGTATTTGTTAAACATTTCGTGGATCTTTTCAGTCTGCAATCTCATGTATTCAGAGTTTTGTTTTGTTGGTCTAATATTTTTAATAGCTTTATCTTCTCCATTTTTTTTTCTATTCTTTTACCTTCCAGACATTAAGAAAATGAAAGGAACATTTCAGTCCAAGAAAGTCAGTATCTAAGTTAGGGAAATTTTAAATTGCAGAGGCCACATGAAGTAACAGAATCTATTTTAGAATCTACCTTTACCTGATTAGCAAATCTGTTCTCTTTTCCCTCTTCTGTACTGAGTAGAGACAAATTTTTCCTAGTGAAATATGCTACACATGAAGTTGATCTGTATCAGATATTGATTACTGGGGCCAGGTGGTGGTGCAGTGGTAATGCAACTGGACCTACAGGGAACATCATGGGTTTGCATCCCAGGACCTCCCTGAGTACACCACACCTGCATGCATGCACATGCCTGTGACCTGAGCTAGCTGAGAAGGGCAGTGGGTTGCAGCATGAAGACCGTGTTGGAGGTGCTTGTGTCTGTGTTTCTTGCTCTCTTCATGGAATCAATAAATAAACTTTAAAAATATATTGTATTATTAGTAGTATAAATACTATATTTAATGTAAAATAATTCCAGCAAGGAATAATATAGCATATCATATCTAAAATCATTCTGGTTTTGCTGCTTTCAGAATCTTTAACCAAACTAAATTGACCATTTTCTGGTAAAAAAGAATAAGAATCAGTTCAAATTCTCACATACCTATGTCATAGAAGGTCTCTAAGAAAGTTTAAGTTCTATCCTTGGCACCATTTGGAGACTGGGATTCTTCTGCTTCAGATCATGGACATTATCTGGGATAGACAGGAAGTGAAGTGCATGCCATTCCTGTTTATGCTCACAGATTTATATTCATAGAAATGGAGGATAAAGGTTTACAGCATGACCTCTCCCCATTTGGGGGTTGCTTTCTCCCTCTCTATCTCTAGCCTCCCTGTCTCTCTGGTGAAGCACACACCCTCTAGCAATAACATCTTTGTTTTGATTTTGTATTCATGAGAATTAAGTTCTAGCTCATGCTTGTATAATGGCTTATAGCTTGCTACAATCTGTAAATTTCACAGTTATCAAGAACTACAGTGTCTCAAATTTTCTCTTTGGTAGTATGACTTATAACAATTACTGAAACACCGTCTTCCCCCATATTTTTATGATCGCAGAGACCTTTTTTGAGAGACATTGCATGTCACCGCTTATATACCGAGTATCCGCACTCTGTAAAACTGATTGACTAAGGATATAGAAACACAGTAAATGAGTGTAAATACCAGATACAGTGTGCGTGGAAGAATAGGGTCTGAGGAAGGACATTTAGAAGAAAAATATGAAGGCAAAACATTAATGGGACAAAGACATGTGGTATTATCTGTTAAAGATATTTTATAGTTTTATCAACTGGACTAGGCAGAAATGTTCACAAACTGAAATATTCACTTTGTAAGCTAAACAATGTGATTGAATGTATAAAAGAAAATGAAATGAAAAATATTAGAAATAAATCACCAGTTTTCAAAAGCCTTCCCTTAAAGCATCATAATTTTTAAAAGGTGAGTTTTTGGTTTTTGTTTTAGAAATAAAATATTTTAGACCGGCTTTCGTAGCATCATGGTAACACAATGCTCTACTGTATTGAGGCCATGTGAGAAAGTCCCAGGTCTGCACCCCAAGGTCTCCCTGAGTATGCTGGGTACATCCCACGATACAAACTAAGGCTGCGGGTTAGTTTGTGGTGTGAAATCCCTACTACGGATGTCCCACCCCCTATTTCAGTCTTCATTTCCTGTGGAAGAAAGAAAGAGAAGAAATAAAATATTTTGTATTTGTGGTATACCTTTGTGAAGTTCCGTTGGGAAGGCACCAAAATATTTGCCTCTGCCCCTTTGTATGTTCTCTTTTCCTGGATTTCTGTTGTTAGAAGAACAGTTCCCTAAAGGAGTGTATGGAAGACTTTACATGTGAATAAATATTACCTTAAGGAACTCTTTAAAATGTTAATGTGTATTTTATATTCATTAATCTTAATAAGTGTATGAGCAGAAAACCAGATATTTTCATCTCTTTTTTATTTTTAGCTCTCTATGGTGTTGACATTAAAAGAAAGAGAGAGAAATAGAATCAGATTTCCATTCAGTGCTGTATTTCATGCCATGGGTATGATGTGAAAGATGTCTGTGTAAGATCAACTTAAGGTTTATACCGTGTTCATCTTGGTTTATGGATTCTACATACTCATTTATTTCTTTGAACACTCAAAGTATATTTATGTTGAAGACTCTATGTATTATTAGGTTACTTCTGGATTCTCAGGAATAAATTCCTTTGCCATTGCCCCTGACTGGTGGCCACTCTCTTGCAGGTGGGCAAGTGTATTTTTAGTGAACTTTGTCAGTAGTTCATCTTCATTTGGAGGTTAGAGGAGCACCATACTAAATTATGGATACATTCTGATGCTGTGTCTGTGGTTTTCATTACTAGGGCCCCCATGAAGTTTGCCCATTATTGCCAAGGTAATATAATTACAGGCCTCATTATTCTCTGATTCTTTTTGGTGTGACTGAGTTTTTCACTTCTTGCCATAATCCTGGAGAAGTCAACGGAGACATTCCTGTTTTTGAATATAGTTTATGTTCTATTTTTCCTACTTTACTACTTCATCTAGGAAACTTAGTTTTAGTTCCCTAAAACAAATCCTAAAAGCCAGCCTCCTTGGTAAAGTATTTGCTTCTAGTGGCCCAGGGCAGTTAGCTTTAATTCCTACTTTTATGTTGTCTGTGGGTACGTTCCCTCTTCATTTGTGGCATCTGGAAATTTTCTTTTCTTACTTTAAAATATGATGTCATTTTAAAGTTTGCATTAAAATTTTTAAAAGTTTATATTAATCATTTCTGCTTATTTAGAGCTCATTTTAAAGTTTGCATTAAAAATTTTAAAAGATTATATTAATCATTTCTGTTTATTTAGAGAAAGAGGGAGGAATTTATCTATGTCTTGACTGAAAGTCATAGTTGTCTTTACAGAGTTAATGTAGTTCAGAATGTCCCCCCAAATTCTTCCTCATCTGTGAAGGGATTGACATAATGTAGGTACTCAGGTCTGTGTAAAAGTTGCATTTTCTAGTAGTTGCATAGTTTTAGTTATACATGTAACTGTTTTCAATTCGATTTCTTGATCTTATTTCTTCAAAAATTAAAATATAAGGTGAAGTGAGATATCTATGCATATTAGAATGTTAAAGTTGGAAGAGAACTCATTTCATGTAGGCATAAACTACAAAACTCATAGTTGTGAAATTACTTAATTGCTTAGGATATGTGAAATTGATGAGATTGCTGTTTTTATGCAGTCTTTGCTGTATCTTACATTAATTTATTTTATGTTGAGAAGAGCTTATATATAAATATAAATCATCTGACGGCATGTTTAGCTGACTGTATTATTGTATAGTTTGTATTTTGCTACCAATAACTGATTATATTTTTAGCTTAAACACAGTATTTGAAAAAAGAAGTTAGGACACTAATTCGTACAAACAGTAATTAGACAGTTTGTTCTGGGAAACAGAAAAGTAGACTGTGTGACTCATAGAAAAGTTTCCTGTTACAGAGAATAAAAATTTCAGAAACAGAATCATGAATAAAATGACCTAGTACTTTAAGAAATAAGCATTATAATTGATACTTAATATATTTATAGACTTTTAAAGTAATTTCTTTCTATAGTTACTGTGATTAAGTAAAATATTTCAAGAAATCTAACCAGTTTTTACCCAACATAACATATTCTGATGCTTTTGTGTGCAAAATTTCTTTAGTCTGAGGGGAAAGCAGCAGCCTCTAGTGTAATATTAACATTTTTGGCTACTTAAATGAGAGCAAAATAGTAGTTTCTAAATACAAACTAAAGCATTATTGCAAATTGCATGTGTTCTCTAAGGTTGAATATATGACAATTTTTTTAATGAAGTCTTTAGTGTTTTTGTCTATTTTTTATTTAGCGAAAACAAGTTATTAAATTAACTTGCTTACTTTAACAATATTAAGATTAATTTTGTAAGACTCGTGTATTTTTTGAACTTTCACTTATCTGATTCAGTTAAACTGCACATACATAAAATTGTTTTCGTATTAAATTAAAAACTGCATCACCCTGAAGATAATGGTATGAGGTACTACATGGCCAAATTTCAAGTCTATTCTTAAAAGACTTATAAAAGCCATTGTTACTCTGACTTAGAATGAGATATTTATCACTTTCTAACATGGTGACAATTTTAAGATAATCTTAAAGGTATCTGTTCTATTTATATGTTTCTTTCATGGGATGCTGACTTAAATTTTTCAATGTAATATTTAAGTTAAATTTTATAATTTAACTATCTTCAGTATACTAGCTGAAACATTAAAAAGATGACTGAGTACTTTGTTATTTCACAGTGGTACTTTTAAGATGACTGAGTACTTTGTTATTTCACAGTGTTATTTTTACAAGAAGATTATTTTCTAATTTCCTGCATTTAATTTTAGAAAATTCTGGGAAACAACAATGAAAAAGTTAATCAAGAACATTTAGGAAGTTATCTCAACTTTAAAGTTTGTATATATGTGTCAGACTTGGCCTCAGCTTCTTTGCAGAGTTATATGTAAAAGTGTACTCTAAAGCAACTTCATTACGGTTACTTTATACTCTTGTCTATAAAAGAAAGAATTTTTTTTTTTTTTATAGAATCTGATTTTCTAGTGTTTCCAAAATAAGTTACTTTTCAGAGGACCTATACAAATTCTGTATTCTAAAATTGAGTTTTATTGTAGTGGTCTATTTCTAAGTGCTCTCTACCTAAATTCCATTGAGAATATTAGTAGTGTATATGGATAGATCACCTAGCTGTAGCCCTATCCACATTTGAACAACACAGGTAACTTTAATTAACTGTTGAACTATTTTAAAATGGCACAGTATAACCAAATTTCAGTTTATGGATGTCTCACATTAAAAAGTAGGAAAAAAGAGTGGTTTATTTACCTTTCTGTCTCGTTCCTTTTGTCGGTTTTCCACCTGCAGAGTTGGATTCCTGTCTTCGAGAGAAAATCTGAAAATCATCTCCTGTACTGTTTTGATCAAGTTACTTAAAACAGTATCTTATAGGTCACTGGCTAATTTCTATGCTGTTTCCATATAGTTAATTGAAAGCCAAATAATGAAGTTAAATAAGATGCAGATAAAGTTGTACTTTTGCTGTTAATATCAAATGAGAACAGATTGCTTACTTTACACCTGGAGAATCCGGTTCTGCCTGTTAGAAGCCTGTTCTTTAGATTAAAGGAAGATCATTTCATTGGAGCTAGCTGGTAACAGGAAGTCCTTGTTAAACTGCCTACGAAGAGTATTTGGCACAGGCTCAGTAGATCCAATCCTACATTATATATACAATACATCACTCAAAAATGATAGGAGTTTGTATTTAAAGGTTATATCTCTTTCTAGGAGATATCAAAACTTACTAAAAATATAGAGTTAAATAGAAATGGAAAGAAGCTTAGTGTAAAGGCTTTTTTGTCCCATTTACTTTAATGTGATTAATTTTATCCTACTTTAGGAAATCCCCTATAAGGCTTAGTTAATAAAACCATAGAATTTTCAGAAGCAGAGCAGTCAGAAAAGAGCTCACATCTTTAAACTTTTCACCCTGTCTTTCTTTTCACTATACCTATTTTTATTTTAAAATAAATTTTATCCATAGTTTTTGATATAGAAAAACTAAAGTTGCCCACCAATGTATGTTAAGCTATTTATTCAAATGTAATTTTTGCCAGGGGAAATATTTACAGGGAAAATGAAAAATGAAGGTCTCCCTTGTACTACCAGATTTCAGAGCCCCTTTTTTGTTGTTGTTGTTCTACCTGTTATTTGAGGACAGGAGCATCAACAATGGTGAAAAGAGAGGCAAACGCCAGGTTCTTATAAGGCCATGCTCCGAAGTCATTGTCCGGTTTCTGACCGTGATGATGAAGCATGGTTACCTTGGTGAATTTGAAATAATTGATGACCACAGAGCTGGAAAAATTGTTGTGAACCTCACTGGCAGGTTAAACAAGTGTGGCGTGATCAGCCCTAGATTTGATGTGCAACTCAAAGATCTAGAGAAATGGCAGAATAATCTGCTCCCATCGTGTCAGCTTGGCTTCATTGCGCTGACAACCTCAGCTGGCATCATGGACCATGAAGAAGCAAAACGGAAACATACAGGAGGGAAGATCCTGGGATTCTTTTTCTAGGGATGTAATACACATATACAAATAAAATGCCTCAAAAAAAAAAAGAATGTATACATATGCTAGCCTTTTAGGATGAAAGGGAAGATTCATATATATATATATATATGTAATACACATATACAAATAAAATGCCTCATTATAAAAAAAAGAATGATACATATGCTAGCCTTTTAGGATGAAAGGAAAGATATCTACACATAAAAATATTATACATGCACGCAAACACACACCAGTCAAAAGCAGTGAGTATCTGGGACCAGCAGTTAGTGTAATGGCTATGTCGCTGGACTCCCATGTAGTCAACCGTGGTTCGAGTCCCGGACCCGGTGGCTTAAAACTCACGCCAGGCGCATGTGCATGCGTGCCCAAGATCCTGAGAGGAGAACAGAGGAGAAGGGATTGCCCCGTGACCATTCCCCCCTGAGGGATGATTTCTCACTTTCTGTCTCTCTGTCTCTGTCTGGTGAGCGCATGCTTCCTATAGCAAAAACCTCTCCAAAAAAAAGCAGTGAGTATCTATAATACCCAAATTTTAGTCTTTAAAATATCGTTTCCCTCCACTACACACTAATGAAAATGGTTACTTAGAGAAGGGAAGGAATAAACAGTAGAAAGAGACACAGATGGAAAATAGTTCTTTCTGAGCTATCTTGGTTTTGTTTTTGTTTTGCTTTTATCTTTTATTTTTAATTTATTTTACTTATTTACCCCATGATTGAGTGAGAAAGAGGAACAAGAAGAAAGGGAAAGCACTCCCCACACGATCATGTCACAGTCTTTTTTTTTTTTTCCCCGTTTCTCCATCCCATCAGGATTTTGGGCATGCACACATATGTACTCAAGTATGTTCACAACCACTGGGGCTGTGATTTGAACCACAGTTGGCCATGTGGGATCTGGCTCCCTATGCACCGCGTTTAACCACTGTGCCACAGGGCTGGGCCCTGTGATGGTATTTTATTGCACTTTTTTTTAACCTCTGTCATCAGATAGACAAATAGTAGTATGTTGTAATTTCTGTTTTTTAGAATTTACTTAGGTTTTTCATTTTGTTTTCCCCAGTTTGTATCTTAACTGAGTATTGTTTTTAATGTCCACCACTATGCCAAGTAAATTGGAAGTGGTTTTATGTCTCTGTAAATTATGCATTTATATGGACATAATTACACATAAGTGGATGAACTCAAATAAATATTTTGATATTTAAAACATGATATGGTTTGGGCCAGCAGGTGGCATAGTGGTTAAGGCACTGAACTCTCACATGGCCTGTTGCAGTTCAAATTCTGGGCCTGGTGGCTTGGAAATGATGCCAGGTATATGTGCATATGTGCCCCTAATGCCAGGAGAATGGAGGAGATACAATTGCCTTGTGGCCATCTCACCTGGTCCCCCCTGGAGAGTTACTTCTCACTTTCCCTCTCTCTGTCTCTGGCAAGTCCATGCACCCTATGGTAAAAACCTAAGCAAAACAAAACAAAAAAAGAGGTACAGTTTATATTTTCAGAAGGGTAGAACATGAGATAAGGGCAGTTACATCATGATACAATGTATTTTAAGATAAGGACAGAATTTATAGATGTGAGCTGGAGAAAGTATCGTTTGTTGCTTTTTTGTTGGCCTGTTGATCTATTGCTTACCTTTTTTTGACACTGCTCTTTACCTGATTTCCCTTTTGTTAGAATAGTTTTTACAAATATTATTTTAGCAATAAATAAAAGAAAAATCCATCAATACTTTGTAAAACTGGCATGTTCTACAATCAGTAGATTTTAAACTAAGTGGAAGAAATCACATATCTCCCCAATCAGAGTACTTCTATGACCATTTTATTTAAAACAGAAGAACATGTTCAATGGCTCATATAGTAATGCAACAATAAAAGGTAACATTTTGTGAGGCAGCCTTATGTAGGAAGAATGGTTTTGAATCCAAGACCTTCCTGAGTACACCGAACACATACTTACCCATGATTCAGGCCTACCTGAAGCTGGGAGATTCTTCATGGCATTGAGACCCTGTGGAGGGTGTTGTCTCTTTCTCTCTCTCCTTTCTGGCCTGCCTGAAGCTGGGGGAGCCTTCATTGCATTGAGACCCAGTGGAGGGTGTTGTCTCTTTCTCTCTCTCTTTTTTGGGAAATATTTTTTTTTTAAATAACATGGTAAATGTATTTTAAAATTTTTATTCAATTATATATTTGCTATTAAATTACCTCATTTGTTTCTCTAGGTTGGCAAATAAACAAGACAAGGAAGGGGCTTTAGGAGAAGCTGATGTGATAGAATGTCTGTCTCTGGAAAAATTGGTCAATGAGCACAAGTGTCTTTGTCAAATAGTAAGTTATTTTTTCACTGTGTCCTTTGAAATATGTTTACTGTAACTTAGCTTTTATAAAGGCGATAGGCAGTTAGAAAACAGTCTTAAAAGCATTTTTTTAACCAAAGAAATCCACCTCACTGTTACTGCTTAATACTGCAATATTTGTTTTTACTTAGTTGTAACTGACTTCCATAAACTATCCTTCATGATTTCATAGATTTTCACATTGCTTTGTTTAAGGTATTGCTGATAAGATAGTATAGTATAACTAGCACATCCTTCTATGAATTTTGTAAAGCAGGAAAGGAAATGCATAAATATAAAATTTATACATAAAAGAAATTTATAAGAGTTTTGAAAAAAATTTTTTCAGCATTATTAATTTAATTTAATTTATTTATTCATTTATTTTAATTTGACCAGAGAGAGACACAGAAAAAGAGAGAGAGAAAGTGAGAAAGCAAGCCACCAGGTCTAGGACTTGAACAGTGGACGACCATGTGAGAGTGTCCAGCACCTTAACCACCACACCACCTGCTGGTCCTGAGTTTTGAAAATTTTATCAGGAGCATTGTCTTAAAATTTTTTAAGAAATATAGACAGGAAATGTTAATTTTATAAATTGATCATTAGGTTGTCAATGTTATGATTGTTTATGACTATAAATTCCCTGATAGATGGAATTAAAATTTCCTGGTATTTTTAATAAATAGAGGCAGTTTTTCTGGCAGTTCAAGTATGTCTTCCAATAAGCCTGTTTAAAATTGTAACTGACACTGTCAACTTCTTATGTCATAATGTCTCTTATAGCTTCCAGATATGTGTAAAGTATTTCAGCCCCTATGTACTAATCTTAGTGTTTGTTGCAAAGGTGTGATTTGTGAGTTAAATAAGAAGTAGATGCTTTGGAATAATTTAAATGGCTTAATTTTTTTCTTTTTTTTTGGAGAGTTTTTGCTATAGGGCGCATATACTCACCAGAAAACCAGAGAGAGACAAAGAGTCAGAAAGTGAGAAATCACCCCAGGGGTGATTGGCCACGCCACAATCCCTTTTCCTCCAGTCTCCTCTCGGGATCTTGGGCACGCACACACACGCGCCTGGTGGGAGTTTAAGCCACAGGATCCAGGACTAGAACTGCAATCAACTACATGGGAGTCCAGAGACATAGCCATTATGCCAACTGTTGATCCCTTTATTTTAATCTTTGAGTTAGATAAATTTCTGTTGTAGGAACCTTGTTCAGCAGTCTTGGGGTATGGAAAAAAAATTGACAAGTCCATTAAAAAAGGCCTTTACTGGCTGCTACATATCATTGCAAGAGACTTTGATGCCTTAAACGAACGCATCCAAAAAGACACAGCAGAACAACGTGCTCTCGAGGAACAAGAGAAACGAGAAAGGGCCGAACGAGTGCGAAAATTACGAGAAGAAAGGTAAGTAGATTAATTTTGTGCCAGCGTGTATTTGAAGAGTCAAAAACAGGACAGTTTTGTGAATAATTTGCTAATTTTGCCTATTCTGTCTCTTCTTTCTGTATGAAGGAATACACACATCTTCTTTCCTTTTTTATTTTTATTTTTTTAGTCTCTTATAGAGTGTGTGTGCTTTCCTATGGAGAGAGACAGAGAGGGAGAGAGGGAAAGTGAGAAACCATCCCTGGGGGATTGTGCACACCACAATCCTTTCTCCTCCATGGTCCTATCAGGATTTTTGGACATGCATGCACAAGCACTCGCCATGTTTCTCATACCAGATCTGGGTCTGAAATCATGCAGTCATCCATGTGGGATCCAGCCGACTTTACTGTCCTGCCACTTGGCTGGCCACCTCCTTCCCCCTTCTTTTTTTCTGCTATGGGGCACATGCACTTCACTAGAGAGAGAGAGAATGAGAGAGGGAGAGAGAGAGAGAGAAGGAAAATGATAAAGTGCCCCCAGGAGGAGATGGCCACACAGCAATCCTTTCATTTTTCTCTTAGGACATTGGGCACATATGCACAAGCTCCTGCTGTTTTTCTGCCCAGTCTGTGACTGGACAGTGCAATCTGCCATGTAGAATCCAGCCACCTTAACCACCACACCACCTGGCCTGCACAGTAGATTTTCTACTTTTTTATTTCTTTCTTTACTCAAGTTTCAGTGTTAGAATTCTAATTTTTCTAGTAATGTTATGGTTGTTAAATTTGCCTATGTATTCACTATTTTTCACCTTTAAAATTTTATCTCTGGGACTAGCAGATGGTGTAATGGTTATATTGCTGGACTCCCATTTAGTTGACAGTGATTCAAATCCTGGCCCAGTGACTTAAAAAGCAGCTTTAAAAACTCACGCTGGGCATGTGTACATTCATGCCCAATATCCCAGGAGGAGAATGGGGAAGATGAGATTGTAGCATAGCCATTCCCCCTAGGAGGTGATTTCTCACTTTCTGTCTCTCTTTCATTCTCTGTCTCTCCTTGAGCACACATGCCCTATAGCAAAAATCTTTGCCAAAAACAAAAAAGAAGAAATTATCTCCTATTTGTTATGGGTACCTTTACTGCAATGACTCTTAAGACACAGGGTAGTTTTGCCCCTCTGGGAACATTTGGTAATGTATGGAGGCATTTGTAGTTGTCAGGGCTTAAGAAAGGGTGAGATAATATTAGTAACTAGTAGGTAAATGCTAGGCATACTGCTTTTCTTCCATTGATGCACAAGACAGTTTCCTGTCATAAATACTGTCAGGCCCAGTAAATTAATAGTGCCAAGATCAAGAGAACCTTTTTTTTTATTCTTTTGGAGAGGTTTTTGCTATAGGGTGGTGTACTCGCCAGAAAGAGAGAGAGACAGAGAGATAGAAAGCAAGAAATCACCCCTCAGGGGGGATGGCCATGCCGCAGTCCCTTCTCCTCCATTCTCCTCTCAGGATCTTGGACACATACGCACATGTGCCCAGTGAGCACATAAGTCACTGGGTCAGGGACTCGAACTGTGGTCGACTACATGGGAGTCCAGCAATATAGCCATTATGCTAACTGCTGGTCCTGAGAGAACCTTCTTTAGTCTCAACAAAGATAGGAAGTAAACTGTTAAGAGGATCAGTCAAGTCAAGGGAAATCTGCACTTCAACACTGGTTTGTCAGAAAGACTCAGTTGCACTATCTCAGGTTTTAAAATCATTTTAAAAATTATTTTTAAAAGGCACTATCTGAAAGGAAATATTTAAACCAAATTTATCAAACTCTGTATTAAAAAATGATTGTGTAAATTCTACTACAGAATTATCAATAGTCTTAATGCTGCAAGAAAGTAATAAAGTTTGAGTAGAAGTTGAATTTCATACTTAATCCCAGATCTTTCTTACTTTCTTTATGGGATTATTAAAGAAGAGAAGGAAGAGAAGAGAAGGAGGGAAATGAAAAAAAAAATTTTATAGTTTATTTTTATATTTCTTCCTTGAGAGAGGCCCTCCCAACAGGGTCCTCACATTATGATTTACCCCCAGCTGCAGCCTTCCAGCATCATGAGCATACACAATGCCTTGCATATACATGGGGACCTTAGAAGAAGAATTGGGAACTTCCCAGATAGCCTCCACATAACTGAGCAATGCCTTACTGTTGTGCCACTGCAGCTGGCCAAGAAAGGAATTTCAAATGAACACCTGAAAGATCCATAGTTGTCTCCTAACTCCCTAAGTAAGACTGGCCTTCCAGTGGTTTAACATAGTCGCAGCTGGTTATGAAAGAACCCACTGCCCTTGGGAATGGGCTTTCTTGTACCAATGGGGGAAATCTTATGATAATTGTATCTTTCATCTAAATCAGACTGAGGACTTAATGGAAAGAAGTATTTGTAGATACAGCACTCACCCCCCCCCCCAAGTGCTCAGTAAAAGAAGTATATCTCTTTAGATAACAAAGAAAGAATGGGGTGAGTGATTTTGGCAGCTGGTGATATAAAATTAACTAGAACTGTGAGAATCTTTGATTTTACATCCTAGAGTATACATTTATGATAAAAAGCTCAGTACTACTAAACATTTGTTGATCAATCATACATACTTTTTTATATAGTTACAAAAATAATATATATAAACCCAGCTCCTGGTACAGTTGGTTACACGTTCAACTGCAGCATTGGAAAACCACATAGTCTGTAGGGTTTAGATCTCCAGCATGGTCACCCTAAAACATGCTAGGCATATGTGTGCATGCCCCAAAGTTCTGAGTAGCTGGAGGTCAGAAGGGAACTGGATTATGGTGTAATCCAACCCTGTTGGGGGTGTTTCTCTCCCTTGCTTTGTACTCCCACGTGGCTGGAAATGACAAAATTAGAAAATAAAATCTATGGCTACACAATTTTTCTTTTCTTTTTTTTTTTTTTTTTGCTCTCCCTCCTTAAGGAAAACAAAAGCCAAAGCTGCAGACAAAAAAATTGAATTGGATAAACAAGATCTAATGTTAGTCATTTTAAAAAGTTCATATCTTTTCCATAATAATATTTTAGATTATGTTATGGTAGACTTTTTTTAAATACTCATCCCTTTCCTCCTTTTTCTAACTTTACCATGCCAGTTGTGTGAGACCACTCAATGAAGCTGAGACTCAATAATTACAAGCAAATTGGTATTTAAGGAGGAGTGATTAATAACAACTTTTCAACCTCACTAAATTGAATCTAATTGATTCAGAAAAGGTAGGCCTTCAGAAGACAATTCCTCATGGCTCCTGAGAACTAGTGATTTCAGGGGAAAAAGAGGAATGAAGATTTCCTACTGATAATTCAGCCTCTAGCCCACAAACTTGAGTGGTAGGGAGCTCCTCTAGCCTTCTCTCTTTGTCTCTGTGTCTGTCTCAGTCTGTTTTCTCATTTTTTCATAATTTTTCCTTTTAAAAAATTTTTAAGGTAAAGTATTCTCTTGCTTTCAGCCCCACCTTTGTCTTGGTAATAATTCCCTCTTCCCGTCCCACCCAGGCAGGAGAGGCAAAAGGCAAGCCTTCAGAAGACGATTTCTCTAGTCTCCTGAGAACTAATTTTTAAGGTAAAGTATTCTCTTGCTTTCAGCCCCACCTTTGTCTTGGTAATAATTCCCTCTTCCCATCCCACCCAGGCAGGAGAGGCAAAAGGCAGGCCTTCAGAAGACGATTTCTCTAGGCTCCTGAGAACTAGTGATTTCATGCAGTGCATGAGCATGCCACACGGTTTTCTATTTTGTGCCTTTTAAAAATAATAATTATTTGATTTTTTTGTTTTGTTTTATTTTTCTCTGTTTCTTTGTTGTTGTTTCTCTCTCTCTGTTTCTTTTCTTTTCTTTTAATCTCATCTCTCCACTCCTCAATCTCCATTTACTGTGGTCCTAGATGGATCTAAGGGAACTATAGCCAAACATCCAAATACTATTAACATATTCCTCAATATGTACTGAATCTGCTGCACAAAGGGATCACAATGGAATGGCAAAGAGATTACAGATCGCCTCTTTCTGCATGCTTCCGAATGTTCAGATTGAACTTAAGAATTAGAAAAAAATATAACATCCATCAGATCATTAGAAATCACCACAGGACCACAAGAAATATGGGAAAGCAAGAACATACCTCTTCTCCCAGGGAAAAAAATAACTCCTTTTCATCCACAGATAGTTCAATGAAAATTATGGAAATGTCTGATAAAGAATTTAGAATATTCATAATGGCAAAACTAACAGAGATGGAAGAGAAAAGAGACAATGACCTGCAGAAGAAGGAGAAAGGAGAAAGGAGCTGACAGGTTCCAGGAGGTGAGGAAATTCTTGCAAGACCTAAAAGAGGAGTTATATATACTTAAGAAAGAGTCAAAAGGACCTGTTAGAAATGAAGGCTATAATACAGGAAGTCAAAATCTCCCTTGAAAGTATTAAAAGCCAATTAGATCATACATAAAATAGAACCTCAGACATAGAAGAGAAAATTGCTGGCCTAGAAAAATCCACCATGGAGACTGAGAAAATGGCCCCCCAAAATGAGAATAATACACAAGAAACATTGGATACCATCAAGCGTCAGAACATCCAGATAATTGGTATCCCAGAAGACGAAGAGTCTCATAAGGGCATGGGTGATCTATTCAATGAAATCCTACAAGAAAACTTTCCAAACCTAGAGAGGCACTCAAAGATCCAGTCCGAAGAAATACAAAGGACCCCAATTAGAATCAACCCAAGAAGATCTTCTCCAAGACACATTATAGCCAGATTGACCAAAACCACAGACAAAGACAAGATACTAAGATTGGCAAGAGAAAAACATCAAGTTACCTACAAAGGATATCCCATCAGGCTAACAGCAGACCTCTCATCAGAAAGAATGGGAAAATACATTCAAAGTATTAAGGGAAAAGCAATTTCAACCAAGAATACTGTACCTGGAATTCTCAGAGGGTCTTCCTGGCCAGCAAGGTGGTTTTTGGGTCTGGTGCCTGTACCTTCCTGGAAACATGGCCCCCAATCAACAGTTTTCGCTCACACCTCCAATGAAGAAACCAAGACTGCCCCCTGCCTCGAGGCCGGAGGAGGTGTTAGCTTCTCTGGACTCACCCAAGAGAGAAAAAGAACAAGAATAAGCAACTGAACATATCAATGAAGTACAAAGGAAATAAACAGACATAATGAACAAGCCAGTGAAGAGATTTTGAAAGTAGAAGAGAAATAGAATAAACTTCGCCAACCATTTTTTCAGAAGAGGTCAGAATTGATCGCCAAAATCTCAAATTTTTGGGTAACGACTTTTGTCAACCATCCACAAGTGTCTGCACTGCTTGGAGAGGAGGATGAAGAGGCGCTGCATTATTTGACCAGAGTTGAAGTGACAGAATTTGAAGATATTAAATCAGGTTACAGAATAGATTTTTATTTTGATTAAAATCCTTACTTCAAAAATAAAGTTCTCTCCAAAGAATTTTCATCTGAATGAGAGTGGTGATCCATCTTCAAAGTCCACTGAAATCAAATGGAAATCTGGAAAGGATCTGACGAAATGTTCAAGTCGAACACAGAATAAAACCAGCAGGAAGAAGCAGCATGAGGAACCAGAGAGCTACTTTACTTGGTTTACTAACCATTCTGATGTAGGTGCAGATGAGTTAGGGGAGGTCACCAAAGATGACATTTGGCCAAATCCATTACAGTACTACTTAGTTTCCGATATGGATGATGGAGAAGAAGTAGAAGATGAAGAAGAAGAAGAAGAAGAAGGATTGGAAGATATTGATGAAGAAGGAGATGAGGATGAAGGTGAAAAAGATGAAGAAGATGATGAAGGAGAGGAGGATGAAGGAAAAGGTGACTGACAGAACACTGATGGATTCCAATCCTGCTTTTTAAAAAATTTTTCTCCAGTTCCTGGCCCTTCCACTTAACTCCTATCTTTCTCTTTTTTTATCCCCCTCTTGTGCTCAGTCACCCTGTACTTGAGGTCTCTTTTCTCTACACCATGGTTCTCAACTTATTTTTTGGGGAAAAACCTTGAGCAGAAACAATGGGAAAAGAATCTCTACCTTTTTCTGTTTCAAATTCATTTTGATCCCTTCCTATCTCAACAAAAACTGTTTGGAATCAACACCACCATGCTCTGTGGGAAAAAAGAAGATCCTTCTGCTCCCTTCGCTCTGCTGGAAGTCGGAGGGTGCTAGGCCCTATGTAGTAGTGTATAGAATTCTAGCTTTTTTCCTCCTTTCTCTGTATATTGGGCTCAGAGATTACACTGTGTCTCTATGTGAATATGGACAGTTAGCATTTTGTATCTGTCTACTTTCAATTTAAAGAAAGAAAAAAAAATTTAAAAACATGGGTTATAGAAAGTCAGCAAAGGGAGGGTTTGAGATGTTTGGGTGGGTTAAGTGGGCATTTTGACAACATGGCTTCTCCTTTGGCATGTTTAATTGTGATGTTTAATGGACATCCTTGCAGTTGAAAATGACACTTTTAAAAATAAAATTCTCTCCTAATGGTGACTTGAGTCCTGCGACTCGATGGGAGAATCAGCAGAACCTGTAGGATCTTATTTGGAATTGATATTCTCTATTGTACTTTTGTTCCTGTTTATTTTTAAATTTTCTTTTTGTTTTACTGGAAAGGAAAGCTGGTCAGTTTTAAACATTAGAGATGTACAAGTTGCTTTGTTACAATAAAGCTAAATGTGTACACAAGAATTTGATGCTTTTCTCTCAGAATAGATAGGCTTACTGTGACCTTCCAAGTTTGACTTGTATAGATCACTTCACTGTCAAACTGTCACCCGAACTTCATTATTTTTGATACGCACTTTGCCGGATGACTTCTCAGGGTTGTGTGGACCGAGTAAAGGGATTTAAATCAATGTATTAATGCCCCCACAGCTGGGAAATGTGGGTACAATTTGCTCTTGATTTATCAGTACTATCATTGGGATGCGAGAGTGCTCAAAACTCAGTTCTGAATATCTCGTGTTTTTATCTCAAATTGGCAGTTTTTTAAATGGGCCTTTGTGTCTGTGACCACCATCAGACAAACTGGTGCTCTACTGCCAAGGTACATATGGGACAGTTGATGGCACGTCTTCATTGGCACATAAAGTATGGCCAAGAAGACGGGTTCTTGGAGTAAGAAGTCAGGTTTGGAAGTTACGAATACTTTTTTTGGTCCATAAGTCCCCGTTTTCTAGCATGAGGCTCCCAAACATGGCTGACTGTGAATCTCGGTGGGATGACGAGCTCTGCTCAGTGCCACTGCAGAGAGGCTACCTAACGCGTGAGCTTTTTAATCATGTACAGTATAGTGGGAAATGCCACTTTTTCAGAGATGAATTAATGAACAGCCTCATCAAATTAAAGCTTTTTGACATATAGAAGTTTATAATGGAACTATTCCATCAATGGACAAAGTGTAACAACCCTGTCTAGATGGACAGTATGTAATTTCTGCACAGGTCTTTGTTTAGTGAATACATCACTGTGTACGAGTCAGGAATCTTGCTCCAATAAAGGAACATAGACTTAAGAAAAGAATACCGTACCCGGCAAGATTATCCTTCATATGGGAAGAAAAGACAAAAACATTCTCAGATTTAAAAAAAAAAAAAAAAACCTGAAAGAATTTACCAGCATCAGACCAGATCTCCAAGAAGTTCTCAAGAGAGTGCTGTATCAGGAAAATTAAATACAGATACACAGAAATAAGAGTTCAAAAACTAAGAAAAGGCCCAACTTAACATAGGGACAAGCCTTGAGTTGCATATTATATCCCAGAATTTAATGGGGAAGATTGAACCACAATAGAAGATAAAGTACATGAGACTGAACTGGTGAAATAGAATTTTATGACTTGACTAAAACATTAGTGAATTTCTTCTAGGCTTTGTTGTCTGGTTTTAAGGATTTGTGTCCTGTCTTGAGATGTTGATAGGTTCATGTACATACCATTTGAACAGAATCCTAACCTGTTTCCTAGCTTTAAGTTTTAAGCAAAATTCCTTAGGATTTATTTGATTTAACTTAAAACTGTTTTTCTTGAAATTACCAGCTGAAATTGCTATTGAAAGTAGTTAGAGTATTTAAGAAATTGTGTGATCAATACAATGTGGGGGAAAAGGAATGGAAGATAACTGTAGACACCAGAGGGAGTCAGAAGAGGGTGGGAAAGGACAGAGGGTCAGAAATAGGGGTAAACATATATATATAAAACATATACATATATATGAAACTAGAAATGGAAAATTTTTGACTATAAAATGAATGATTAAGCCACTGTGCAGTATATTCTGCACAGTGGGAATATATATCCCACTGGATGGGAAATCATATTTTGTATGCTGTGATGATGCTTAGGGAATGAATGTAAATTAATTGAGTTTTAAAAAAAGTCCCAGAAAATAAAAGCCTAAAACTGTTCTTCTTTTTTTTTTGGAGAGATTTTCACTGTAGGGCGCGTGCGTGCACTCGCCAGACAGACAGAGAGAGACATAGAGACAGAAAGCAAGAAATCACCCCCCATGGGGGATGGTCACGCCACAATCCCTTCTCCTCCATTCTCCTCTCGGGATCTTGGGCATGCACGCACACGCGCCCGGCATGAGTTTTAAGCCACC